TGCTTCCATGGCTTTTACAGTGACTTGCTTCAAGCACTTTCAAATTGCTCAACTTATAGTTGTCTTGTTTAAGGAATTTTCCACCTGAGCTTTTACTCACTGCAGCTCCTCTAGAGTTTCCATTTTGCCTGCTTTCTGGCTCCTGTTGTTGTCCAGCCTCTCGGCTTACATAAAAGGCCACGCCTTGGTATTTGTGCCATACTGTACTACTTTCTTTTCCAGACGATAGATTAAATGCTCAAATCTTGGAACTTTCTTTTCAAATCAGACTAATCCCTGCATTGACCACCTTGCTCCTTGGTCATCATGGCAGTTTTTGTTTGCTTATTTTGTGGGACAAACCTCTGAAGCACTTATAGAAGGGCTGCATTTATACTAAGACACATCAGTACTGGTTACTACTTAGGTGACAAGACAGGACAACGTTTTGCATAAATGCTTAAATGAGTTAGAACGTTAAAAATGCATCCCAAAGTTTGGTTTTATTTTATTCCTTTTTATACAAATTAATTACCTGCCACTTCATGTTAAGTATTTGTAGATGTTTATTGCTGTACATAAAATCAACACAATAACACAATTTTGTGGTATCAAAATGCCCTGCGTTACATGATGACAGGCTTGGTAACTGCGTTAGTTTTTCATTGAAGAATTTATCTAACTAATTACTTTCCCCATGTTGGTAACATTGCTACCTTACTGTACTTCCAATGCGTTACTACAACTAGATCAATTAAAGCGACTTTGAGCGCACTTATAGAGATTTGTACAGCAAGCAGGCACTAGCAGGGAGCTGGGATAGGGGTACCAGATGTCACAATGTGGGCAGGTGTTCAGCATGCTCTGAATGCAGACAGAGGGAAGAGATTATGGTGTAGAGCCACTGATTCAATGACAGCGTTCCTAAAGAAAAGCACTCACTGAAGTCAAAGGCTAAATGTTGCTGTGATTTGCTCATTATGTGTGAAAACAGAAAATTTACCTAGAACTGTTGGAAGCATATCTCATCTAAGGAAGCTCCTCACATCATCTAAAAAATTACTGAGCTGACTGCCTTCATCAACACATGCTCTTTAGTTTTTCAAGGTCATCCTGAATTCACTTGCATGTTTTACAGTTTTTTCAAAGAAATGCTGGGATTTTACAGCCTTGCCCATTTTAGATTGTAAAATGTAACTTCATATTTACTTTCACAAGTTACTAGTTTCTTTTTTGTGCAGTAACAAAGCTACTAACTCAGTTATATTTCTGGAGAAGTAACAAGTACCTTGAAATCTTTACTTTTTTAAAGTGCTGTTCTAATTGCATTCCCAACACAGAGTGGCACAATGTGAAAAACTTCTGGGGGTGTGAATAGTTTTTCTTAACACTGTCATTATGCTGCTCTCCACACTATTTAGCATTTTTTCTATCACTGTCGTTCTTAAATATTTTAGATTTTAACACATAAAAACAGCACATAATCTAAATCAAATTTTATTACCGTATTGATAATCTTGATTAAATATTAAAGATGTGTCAAGTTCTAGCAGTTATGTGTTACATTTAATTAAACTCAGATTTGAATCTAACTTATAATATAGTCTAATTTAAGCCTTATATTTATACAGTCATCTTGCATATTGTGTTAGCAACCTAATACAGTATTAGCCTGCTTGGCAGCATCTCATATCCTCTACTCAGTCTGCATCGTCCTACAGAGTTCATTCCATCATGTATTCAAGCGGCATATATCTATAGTTTGCCTGATCTTCTATCAGCCTCCCGTTCTCCATCTCCCCATCATTCTGTGATGAATGACACCCTTCTCGGAGCGATTAGCTAATTATTCTCTATTATTCTGAGTCAAGCAGCTGCTGTCACAAGCCTCAGAGCCTACAAATCTTTATCACACACAGGAAAACCAAACCACTGTTCACCACAAATAGGCAGAATTGCACAGAAAGAAGAAGAAAACAAAATCTGACAAGACCTGGTGTCTTCATTGTAACAGACAGCACATTTAGCTCTGATTATATAATCAGGCAAATTGCACATATGGGAAACATGGTTTCAAGCTTCACATATCGGATATTTGTGCCCTAGAAATCTTATAAGCAATAACATTGAAAACTTATTATGTTGCATATTTTTGGACTATGAGCATGACCAAGGTGGCCCCAGTAGCAATAAAAGCTATAAATTAATATAGAATACCTAAATACCAACCTAATCCAAAATAGTTAGGTTATCTGCTTTAATGTATCTCTATTCTCCCACTCTGAAGTATTTGTCAAGTTCTACTCATAACTTTATTTTTTCTGTGCTTTTTCTTATCATATTAGCTTCATTTGGTCCTGTTCGGCTGTGACTCCATCCTGGAGAGAAATGTCATTGCCATCAACATCTCTGTTCTCAAGACATTGGAGCTTGGCCTGTTTCCAGTGTAGTCCTGTTTCTTTTACTGTGACTAGAAGAATTGGCTAGGAGCTCGTCTGTCAATCTAAGTCTTTCCCGGGCCACCCATGGAGCTAGTGAACAGTTTGTATATCTGCTTCTTCTTGTATCTCTGCTTCTGTCTCCTTAAAACCCACTCGGCTTCGACAGATGGTCGCTCGCACTGAGCCTGGTTCTGCTGGAGGATTCTCCCTGTTGAAATAGAGTTTTCCTCTATATTGTCACTACATGCATCATGCATCAGTCAAAGTAAACAAAAAAACATTTGTTTAGAACTGCCTTTGACTGTTGAATTAAAACTGTCAATTGAGGTATTATTACTGTAGTTTAAGGTTTTGGTGGAAAAGTTTTAATTGTTTAACTCATATTCTATCTTTTTTTTTCTTTTATTCCTTTTTAATTTTCAACTCATTTTCTAATTTAAATAATGTAAAAAACATTTAATTGTCCATATACTGAATTGTGCTATACAAATAAACTTACCCTGTCTTGCTTGATCTAAAGAATTGCTGAAGAGCCGATGACAACTGGTTTTCCTAAACAACTTGACAGTATTGTGTCTGTAAAGTGTCTTGAGATGACATTTGTTGTGAATTGGCTATATATATAAATAAACAGAATTAATACATCCAGCTCATGTGGTAAAAACTGAAACTTTTTGCCAAAACATGACTAATGAGGCAAAATGAGCATTAAGAAACAGTTTGAACTAGTTAAACCCCTGAGAAGGTATCATGATGATAAGGAAAGAGGAACTTAAGTCAGAGTATTGAGGTACTTCACCACTAACAAAAGGAAAGTTTGCAATTATTAGACATGTACAGTAATCAAAGAGTGAAACAGGTCAGCTGTTAGATGTATGAGAACAAGTGTCCTATCAGCTGAAGTACTGCAATCCCAGCTTTTGAATTATCATTTCAAAAGCCTTCTAATACGTAAGTTTGTGCCCTGAAATCAAATGGTTGATGGTTCATGCCCTGGCTCAGGCTTTAAGTGTGGTTGTGTCCATGGGCAAGACACTTTACCCACATTGTCTACTGATGGTGGTCAGAGGGCAGAGTGGCGCCAGTGTACGGCAGCCTCGCTTCTGTCAGTCAGCCCCAGGGCAGCTGTGGCTACAAAGTAGCTTGTCACCATTAGTGTGTGATAGTGTGCATGAATGGGTGAATGACTGAATGTAGTGTAAAGCATTTTGGTCAAGTCTCCTGACTTGAAAAAGTGCTATATAAGTACAGGCCTTTTACCATTTACATTTTTAACAATTACCTTTGTACATTTACTAAAGCTGGGCAAACACTTTGCGATTTTCGGGGAGATTTTCCAGTCGTGCGAGAATCTTTCAATCGGCCCGACTTTCAGGCTGACTGTGCATTGTGAGTCCTGTAGTGTTACAGGGGGTTATGAGCGGCGATCAGCCTCTCACGACGACCACAATCAGGAATCGTGAGGTCGGGAGAATATCAAACATTTTTGATTTTCTCCCGACAGTCGTGAGCAAATCACTAAGTGCTCAAAGAAGGATTCTTCTTGTTATTCTTCCTCTCAGATGGAAACACAGCAGCGTGGCAGGGATGCAATGAGTGAAATGCAGTTCTCTCTGTAAAATTGAAAGACTGTAGTAGCCACGTTTGCTCAGCCATGTCTTTGTCCAAATTTGTTGTCTATTTTTCTTTTTAGGGCTTTCAGCAAAAGCTGAAGCAGCTGTAGCTGCGTGCAACGATTGAAAAAAATCGCACAGTGTACGCCTGGCTTAATTCAACTTTTCTTATTGACCTTATTTTCTAGTTTTATTAAACTTTATCTTTGTTGCCTTCACTGCACATGTGGCACATCTTTGGTAGGCAATTACTTGAATGCCATATTTTCAGAAAAAAAAGCTATGATGAATTAAAATGTCTTATGTTTACAGTTCAGGAGCAATCGAAAGGTCAAGACATCAGCCAGGAAAATTAAAGCTCAACCAGAAACAGGTTTTCCCAAATAGTCAATGATTGTATGTATTCCGTTAAATTAGTTACAAAGGTGACTGCTGATAGTAAAGTACATTTTGATTTTAGTCGCACAGAAAACTTACGTACTGCCCTCTGTGAAAGTGAGTAAATTACACCAGTTCTGTCAGGAAGAATGAGACAAAACTATAGCGAACTATTGTGGAAGTTTTATGATGGAAAAGCATCCATTCTTCAATATATTTGATTATTCTGCACAACAGTCGCCTAAAACCGCAACAATTTTCAAATGCACTAATGTTAATGTTGGAGACTACCAGAAAAATGTTATGGTTTTATAAAGTGCATGAACTCCTTAACATTTTCTTTGTGTTTTCTTTTTTGTTGTATGTGTTGGTTTGTTTATTTTTTTTGAGTGTGTGTGTCCTTTCTTAGAAACCAAATAACCATTGCTTGTGTAGTCAGTTGTCTTTTTAGATTTTGTCATATAAAAATGACAAAAATGTTTAAAAGAGATAAAAATTAGTGGGAGCCCCCTGAGAATTACTGGAATGTCCGATTGGGTGACTAGAAAAGTCAGTTTGTTATGTGTTTTTTGGTAGAATGCACACTTACTCTGCCAACTCCTCCAGGCTCCGGTACACATCATCCTCATTCAGAGCTGTGTCCTCGGACGGGAAAGGCCTGATACACAAACAGAACACACAGAGCGAGAGACGGTTACAAAACACTTTATCAACACACGCACACATATAAACACACCACACTGTCGCAGGTAGAAAAATAACCAGTGGGAAACTTTGTGTTCTATCTGTCAGCTTGTCGCTCCTCGCTCCATCACTTCAGAAGCTAAACAGCGGGAACTATTCAACCAAGGGACCCCATCAGTCACAAGCAACATTGTCAAAACACATCAAATTGCTGCTGCTGACAGATAAGGAGCCTGACATCCTCCCACATCCGACTTTACCAGGAATTCAGGAGAGGGATGCTGGCTTGCTTTTTCCCTTCCAGATTGATAGGCAGAAGTCGTATAAATCCTATCAGGGGTTCCTCCATCATTCAAAGATCTTCAGGGACAATACAAGCCAGAGAATAAATACAAGTTTGGAGATGTGTGTTTTTTTTCTTCTGCAGGGAGTGACCTTCAGATTTAGGAAAACATCCTGTTTTGGTGAACTGTTAAACAAACTGAACCTAAAACCACAAATATAGATAAAAGTGTATCCTTTGGAACTGGTATGTACGTTTTACCAAGACAGCTGCAGATATGTGAAACAGATGACCAATTACCTCATTTATCAGAGTGGATTTTTCCCATTTGTTCTGGGATGTCAGTTTGCTAAAAGCTTTTAGCTGCAAATGTAGGATAACATTTCAAAGGCTTAATGTGTTAATGACCCCATTTATCTCTAAGAGCTGAATTTGAAAGCTACATATTAGGGCCTAGTAAATTACAGCACTGCTCACATCTGAAGGATTTGTAATAAAACTAAAACAACCATATTGGACGTTAAAAGGTAAAACTATTGGTCTTCTATTCAAATAAGAACAGAAGACTTTACCCATAAACAGATTAATCATTTAATTAAAGATGTGATTCAATAAACAAGGAACTTTTGGATCTACAACATGAACCATGTAGACTTGCTTGACAATGACTGATTTCTACTTATATTTCATATTTATTCATAATTAACATATTGTAAAGTCTTCATACAGTAATTCATACTTTTATTTTACATTTAAATTGAGATATCAGAGCCTCCTCAATAAACAGTAAACAATTTGCCATTAAACGGAATTTCAATTGTTGTTTTTTGTTCACATGCTAAAATAAAAACTGAAAGAAATACATAACATCATGTTTTTATTCACTATTTTCCATTCTACAAAACTTATTTCCAGTCTTTCTATATGGATAAAAAAAACATTTTGTCAAAATTTTAAGGGGCCCAGAAAGGTTCCTGACTTTAATCAAATAGAGGAGGGAGCTAGAGATTAGGGTGATGGTAAAGAGGCCTCCTTATTTCTAAACACAATGACTAATAAAGTATAATTGGAAACTTGCAAAACGATGGAGAGCAGGTATGAGGTATATTTGATTGCTGTAACACCTCAGAATGATTTTGAGATGGTAATTGATAAGGGTATGCATTTATTTTAACATTTGTGTTTTCTCTTATTTTGGTCTAAAATAAAATAAAATAAAAAAAAAATTTGATGTCTCTTTCTAGATACAGTGTCTGTGTAGTTTTTATTGTATGGGGTTAAGTTTCATTTTAAAACAGAAACTAGTATAAATAAAACAAAAAAAAAATATTTGTTCAAAGTCTTTAAGTCTTGCTGGGTTGAAAATACTTATGGCATTGAACAACTGATTCCAATATTTATTGGAGATAAAAAAAAAAAAAAAAACATAAATCCTTTTCTTTCCTCTTCAAATGTATTAATAAGTCTCAATAAATCTGTCTATCTTAAGCAAATAAACTATATTTAATTAATTTTTTATTTGATAAAATCTGGAAAAGCTCAACTTCAGCAATGTCAAATTGAGCCCTCAGAGTGATAAAAATAAGTCTGTGTGCTTTTCCTAATGCTGTCTAGACAGAGAAGTTAGCCTGGAGTCAATGTGGACAGTTTAGTGTCACAGAGAAGACCTTCAATGCTCTCATGAAAGCACCCTTCCCTCTGTTAGCTCTCAGCTTTTAAAGCCTTTGACTGTATTTAATCCCTAGATATGATCAAATGACTCACACACTATCCAGTACTGCATCCCTATAACGAGGCTGCTAAAGAAACCCTTTAACAGCTAATGGCTAATTTTTATACCTTAATTCTTCACATAAAAGCGAACGCTGGCTTTCAGTGGTAATTCTACACTTTGTGCGCGTTTGTGACATCAGTGATCAGCCTCTGCTTCATTAAAGCAACAATCACACTGATAGTGTCAGTCGTTGAGCTAATGAGTGCTTGGAGAGATAATTAAAGGTCAGCAACCTCATACAAACAAACATGTAAAGCATCCTGAATTCTCCTCTGTCCTTTACACAGCTCTCTCTGGAAAACATTTCCTCCTGTTACACTGTTTTTTTTTTTCTTCTTCACTATTAAAACACGTAATTTAAAAAGCTAATTACAAGGTTTACTTCCACCAAATCTGCCTCATCTGATTTATGTCAAGCTCTCACTCACTGTTATGAAGCGCACAGGGTGCCTCCTCCAGAGTGCGATAACACACCCACATTTGATGGCCCCCTCCAATGAAGTGTGCATTATATTTTAAGTTATTAATGGAGTCCCGCAGGGCAAAATCTAATTACAAAGTAGTTTGTGGAGCTCTACGCTCGCATTTATCATCCCTGTGCTCTTCTGTGGAGCCAAGCAATGTCCACTGCTGAAGTTTTAATTTCCCTTAAATAGTGCATCTAGGTATAATTGAACTCTGTTCATAATTTCATCAAGGCACCTCTGATGAGCCGACACTTGGCAATTTATTGCTGCTCTGTGGGTTTTTATGGCTGCATCTATGCTGAACCGGAGAGCAACCGATGCTACTGTAGAACGAGAGGCTTCCATTCAAAATAAACAATATAAATATTTACTTTTCTTTATTTTAATGCACATCTGTTGCAACTGGAAAATAATTTAAATAATTATTCTCAAATATAACACTTTGCAAAAGTTTCACAGATATGAATCTTTTTGTACATTTAGTTTTATTGTAAATAGTTTTTTTAACCTTTCTGTAAAAACACAAAGAAATGAGTAGGTAAAGCTCACAGAAAATGATATTTTCAATATTTTACATATAAAATGCAAAGTTTTAAAAAGTAGGACTAATTGAAAGCATTACGATTCTTGAGGACACAGTGTAGTGGCAAAGATGGCCCTAAAAGGTCTGAAAACTGAAAACATCCCCACCATGGTGGCATACAGTAGTAGCAGCATTATGCTGTGGGGATGCTTTCCTCAAACAGCAGGAAAACTGGTCAGCGTTAATGGGAAGAGGAGAATAGGAAAAGAATTACATCTGGACTAGGAGAATAATTTTCCATGCAGAGTCAGATTTCTAAACAATGTTTAAGAGGAAATTATTTCAAAATGTTCCATTTTATACAGTTTGAATCCACTTATTTTCTGTCTCTTCAGTGCATTTCAGGAATGTCATCAATTATAACCAATAACCCTCACTGAGATATGTAGTCATTCAAAAATAGTGGTATGAGTAATACTGCTGGTATGTGAAACATGCCCTGGTGGTACAGTGGGAGTCTGAGGCATTTTTAATAAAAGTGAAATTGTGGAACTCTAGAATTGTGTTTAATTTTGTAATAATTGTCGTTTATGTTCATCCATCGTACTCGTCGTCTCTCGCTTTATCCGGTTCCCTCTCCGCAGACACCTCCTCCAGCTCTGTTGGGGGAAACCCTACAGTAGGCGCCTCCAGGCCAGCCGAGAGACATGGTCTCTCCAGCGTGTCCTGGGTTGTCCCCTGGGCCTCCTCCCGGTGGGACGTGCCTGGAACACCTCCCGAGGGAGGCGTCCAGGGGGCATTCGAAGAAGATGTCCGAGCCACCTC